TAGAAGAACTGACTGACGTAGCATTTGGGTTGAAAATACGGATTTTGTTCTATATGTTTAGTGCAGACGATTTCCCAACTGATTTCGGAGTGATGGAGGTCTGCTTTGCCCTTTCGATTCTGCTGTTGGCGTCATTATCATCATCTTTTCTGTGTGTCTGTAGTTGAAACGATCCTTTCTCGATAAGTGAAGGAATTGACGTCTTATGTGGTTATTTTAATTGATAAAAATTATCACCTTTCTAACGAGAGGTACTTTGACGACTACTTCGCTACTAAAGGGTCCCGCCAACAATAATACATCTCATCTAACAGTTGTGTTGCTATGCTGAACGCCAAGTAATCCACAACGGGAAACTCACAAATTCCTTCGAAGTGAAGATGGGAATAAGACTAAGCTGACTGGCTGCCTACTGTCTCCAGTGATTTTCCTGACTGCAGTAGGCCGGATAGTGGGAAGGCCGGCGAGCAGCGAGGAAACAGGCATAAAATGAACCCACACAGAAAACTTGGAGGATCTGGACTTCGCCGATGATATATGTCTGATTTCCCGAAAATTGAAAGATACACAAGTGAAAAGCAACAAGTTGGAGATAGAAGAAGCATCCAGAGAAGATAGGACTTCAGGTGAACATACAGAAAACAGAGGGGATGATGGAGAATCCTGGTCAACAGCAACAACAATGACAGCAGACAACAATCAGCATAAATGGGAGAAATCTGAAAGAAGCAACCTCCTTCACCTACCTACCTACCTACCTACCAAGGAAGCATCATATCAACTACAGGCGGACGGAACTGATGAGGATATCAAAGTGAGGATCAGGAAAGTAAGGCAAGCCTTCATTTCTCTCAAGTCTGTGTGGAGAAGATCAGCAGCAATCAGCATGAAAAATAAAATCCGGATTTGGAACTTTAATATGAAATCTGTGCTACTTGCCATACGGACCAGAGACTTGGCGCCGCCTCATGAGGGGTACTTCGAACAAAATACAAACCTTCATCAACAGCTGTCTTCACCCAGTAGTCAAGATCAGATGGCTGGCCAGAAAAGATCAGCAGCAGGGATCTGTGAGAGCGGACCAATCAGGAACCGGTTGTGCAACAAATATGCAGGAAGAAATGGAGGTGCATTGTGGCCATACTCTGAGAAAACAAACCATCAAGTGAGTGACATCACATACCAGGCTCTCTCTCAAGTGGATTCCGAATGGGAAGTGGTGAGTTGGTCGTTAGTGCGAGAGTGACATGGGGTAGTTCATGTGAAGCGGAGATGGAAGCATATGAGCAGACGTGGAGCCAGGTGGAAACGTTGGTGGAGAATTGAACGCAGTGGTGATGTGCTGCTGAAGCCCTATGTTCCTCTAGGAACTAAAGGAAACAATAAAAATAATAATCAGCTTTCTAAATGTTGGAGGAGTGAAAATAAGAGATTGCGAATCATCAAAACACTTAATTTGTAGATGTTAGCAACAAAGCAACTAAGTTTTTAAGCAGGGATGATCATGATCAGTTAGTTCGCAGGGGTCAGCAACAAGTTATTACATAATCGAGCAATTTGTGAAATAATACTGCCTAAGAAGAATTACGTAAGAATACCGAAATATAAACAAGGTGATTTAATTAGCTAGAATAGTAATCATAATAAAGTCACGTGATAGGTACAAGGGTAAGGGAAAATTACTTGTAAAAGTTAATAAGTAATATGTGATCGGCCATGGCAGAGAAAGGGCCAGCAAAAATTTGGCTTATTCAGATATGAGTCTGACCATGGATTGATATCAGTTAGAGATCCATTGAAAACCAGCCATAGGGAGTTCTGGACAGCTAGCTGTTTCGTCAACCTAGTTTGGGAATCAAAGGCAGCACGCACTCATCCTACTGTCAGGGTTTGAACCCAGTAACCCCGGGTTACAAGGCTAGTAAGCTCGTATACCATTCAACCACTGGGACCCGACTCTTCAATGATCAGTCCATGAATTCTAACTTCTACCAATTCGTGATATTTAGCACGACTGGTACCAACCAATGTCATCGGTGGGAACTCCATCCTCACACTTGACTGGATGGGCCTCACTGTTCACGACTTCTTACTAGAACTCCAGGTAACTCTATCCTGTAGCAAGTGACTAGTGAGCATCAGATTAAATTTCTATAGCCGATGATTCCCAAACTAGTGGGATGAAACAACTTTCCAGTACTCCAGTGCTGGTTTTCAATGGTTCTCTAACTGAAATCACTCCGTGATCAACCCTTACAAACCAACCCTAGAAATTTAAACTTTAAAACCTAATCTTTTCAGTTTTCATCAGGGATTGAGCTTAGTTAGAGAACCAATAAAAATCATCAGGAAGTACTCGGTAGCTCTGTTCCGTCACAGCTTGGGACTCTTTTACAGCACCTACCCACCGGCGTTCGAATCTAGTACCTTCTGGTTACAAGGAAAGGTCGTAGACTCTCCAGCCACAGAGATCCGATCCAGTGGACCTCCACTAATTCGTGATTTTTAGCGCAACCACCACCCAATGTCATCTGCTCTTGACTGTTGAAAGTCGAATCTCTCCTTCTTTCACCAAAATCTAAACATCTGAATATTTTTTAAAATGTTGTCCTTTATGTTTTGTTGACGCAGATATCAGTGAAAGATATTTGGACAAGATCCATTATCCAGCCTAAACCGTACTCATCCAGGCATAGATTGATTATAAATAATCGATTAACTGATCAAAGATCGAAAGCCAAACATATCCCATCATCACCATCATTGGAAAGTTATTATATGATGAATACTTTTCAAACTGAAAAGATTAATAATGAAGTATGCGAAAACAATCCATCAACTGAATCACTGTCGTCGGCGTCGGTTGATTTAAATGCTCTGCAACAGCTTGACCCTTTTCATCCAACCAATATTGAATCTAACGCCACCACTGCTAATACCACCACTACTACTGAAAATGCTCAAATCAGTAGTATTCACGGTGATACAAAAATAATGAATTTAGACAATAAACAAATTGAAATTCTCTCCAATTGCTTATTATCTACTCTGTCAGTTAAAGATTTATTAGACATGCTACCGAAGAATAAATTATTCACTCAGCAGACAAGTGACACTACGCCTAACAATACTACTATTAGTAATAGTAGTACTAGTAATACTAGTAAGGATAAGACAACCAGCAGTAGTAGTCCACATTCTGGTGCATACTCTACTACTATTAATGGCAAAAGTAGTAAATTAACAACTTCCTTAAAAAATGTAAAAGATAAAAAGTTATTGACAGCTGTCAACAGCTATCGAATGAATATTGAAGAGCTGAACATTGGCAGTAAGATGTACAAAGATAATAAAGACCTCGGTAGCTCTCTTGGCGCTGATATCGTCTGTGTGGGTACAAGCAGTACTAGCAATAGTTGTAGTGGTAGCTGTGGAGACGCCACCAATAGTGCTGATGATTCTATGCGTCAACTTGAAGACGCCCGCATAACGCTAAACCAATCGACTGATGATGGTTATCAAGAAGGGGGAGAGAAAAAGCACTCAAAGGCTGATGAAGGCGGAATGATGCGGCCTGCGTTACCGGGGTCGTTAACATTAGGCGTAAATGATTTCAAACAGTGTAGAAGTGTATGTTGTTGATAAAGGTTTCTGTTCCAGTTTGATGTTTGGTGTTACTGCTGTTTTGTGTTATTTATTGAATAATTACTTTGCTGAAGTTCTTTTTCTACTTTTTTTTGAGTTGATATGTGTTTGTGTTCGGTGGAGTGTTATTTATTTAGGCAATCCAATTGGTTTTGTCCATTTTTTCTTTGTATTCTGTTGGGTTCTTAGTGGAGTAATACAGGGTACCTTGACACGCAACCGTTTCCCTTCTCCAGACTGTGTTTTGACCGAGAATTCAGTCCTTGATAGTGCGCGTGGTTGGCGCGCAACCACCCATTGAACATAACTATACAGTATCTTGAGAACCCAAAACCAGTTAGTCCACAGCTCCTTACAGGGAGGGCTCAAACCCGCGGTCAACAACTACATGGACTGATAGCATGTTTTGATTTTATCAAAAGCCACTCTCTTCCCCACTAATCCTGTTTCATTTAACACTAGTCGATGACAATGACTTCGTGTTTGTGACGCGTCGATTAGGCTTCACAGCCTCAAAGATCGACTTTGGTTCCTTACGTAACATTCTACTATCACAATGTTTACTTGTATATTGTTCTGTTGGGGTTCGAACTAATGGTCTTTTTTTCCCTCACGTTCCCCAGTGGAACATAGGGCTTCAAGCTAGTAGCTTTAAGTTTCTGTAGCAGTGTTTATTTTACAGGGTGCAGTTGCTAGTCTCATGCCCAACCTTTCCTCTTCACAAGCATTATTTCTGGCTTAGCGAGGTAAAGGAGTGCGTCGGCCGGGGATCAAATCCCAGACCATGTGCATGGTCAGCGAGCGTCCTGACCGCTATTCCACCGACACCCAAATCTTCTTCATACAACTGAAGCTTTAGCAATCCTCAATGAGAAACCTGAACTATTTTATAAAGAACAAAACTGTTTATTTATTGTTAAAAATAAATTGATAACATGTTATTTTAAGGAATGCAATCAAATTGGCTCAGGTTGCCAGCTGTAATTTGGATGATTTCAAGACAAATAGGCTGTTTGAGCTGAGACAGATGGATTACACTACTGAAGGGTACGATAACGAACCAGGCAAACAGTTGCCTTGTGTTCAGATCACTTCGATGTGGCTTTATTTGAGTAGTACTCAACAAGTGATAAAAATCAATCAGCCAATTAGTTGTATATAGCTGTATGCTTGCTTCCTTGATTGTTAACTGTGTAAGTCGCATATCACAAATTCGATCTAAAGTTATACCTTGGTATTACTGATGAGTCCTGAATTGATACGAAACGTTTAATAATAAATTCTATATAATTTTCAGTCGCAATCATAATATAAGTCAATTGCTTTACAATCTACATTGTCTATTTCTCTTTTAGACTTCTTGCATAGTTAAATTTATGTACCTTGGAATATCACGTACAGAAGAGGCAAAAATACAACAAACAACAATAGATGATCAACAGAAAACTCCTAAAGGAAAAATCAGCTCAGTTAAGGAGGATAATCAATATTTATCACGTGTTATAACAGTTATTCAACAACCGAATGGTGGAAATACTCTGACTGTGTTTAAAGATTCACTTCAGCCAGGCGGTAAGTAATAGTTTTAGTAATAATACTAGTGGCTATAATACCTATATCTTTGATCACAGGTGCCTGCGCTCTATCTCCCGTGTGAAGTGGTGGTATAATAGGGTGAGCAATACTGAGGCTAGGCGTCGAGTGCTAGGTGGATAGGAGGGGAAATCAATAGACGAGATTGTTAAGTTACACCGACTGAAATGGTTAGGACATTTGTTACGCATGCATGCCTGGCCATCGCCTTCCTCGCCGGGCAATGTTAGCTGACAAAGGATGAGTCAGGCTGGGAAAGAGCCAGGAGTTGTCAAACCAAAATATCGTTTCATCAGTCGATGAAATCCACAACAGTTAGTTTAAGCCAGCCACGTAGGAATGTGTACACTTCCTGACTGGTTGGGATCCTCGGGACGGTAAACATCAATGAAGGCTTGAGACAATCGTTGTTAATGGCTAGTGCAGATGCATTCACTCCTTGTGACTTATAATCTCCAGTAAAATTATATTGTTCTTCGATATTGCTATTCTTTTTGTGCCTCATATCTCTGTCTACTGTCTCTATTTTCCATTTACTTTTACTTTCTTCTCTTTCTTTGTGTGTTACATGGAGGGAGTGTGGCGTCTCGAACTGCTGCACATCAGCGCAAAGTTCTATGTTGAAACCAGTCAGTCAGTGAGTCTGTCCTTAAGTGAGTTTGTAGGTTTGAATGACACCATAATTCCTGCTCAATTGAAAATAACACTGTATAATTGTGTGTGTGTATATACGTATAAAGCATTCGAATAAAACGCATTTAACTGTATCTGAACTTCAAATTTTCCTTAGATAACTTTTCTTCACCACCCTACCTACACAGAATAAAGTGTTCATTTTTAATTATTTCTCATACTAATGCAATTTCATGCATTACTGTGGTGAGAGCCGTCTGTTACCCAAAATTGGTAGACAGCAATTTACGTCAATGACAAAGCCTAGCCTTGAGGAACTCAACAACCAATCACAGCAGACTTAGCGTGGGCGGATATGATTCGCAGATATATGGTCTGACCTACAAAGATGACAGAATAACCTTCATCAGGAAAACAACCAATCAGAAGACGCTGTTTCTCCGCTAGCAATAGCGCTGATAATAATGTACATAAAAATGTATAAACATCTGTTGATTTTCTCAATAAACGATCTGTTGCCTGGCCCACGTCTTCTGTCGTTACATTACTATTATTATTATTATCATCATCATTTTAGATATATTTCAAATCGTATCAAGACGAGCTTATGGCTTTCCATTTTCATTAACATTCTATGTGGATGGTACACAAGATACAAGAATTAGTGCATGCTGTGAATATCGTCATAGGCAAGGTGTTCGTATCGGTGGGAGGAATGGGCATTTTGTATATTTAACAGTTGAAGGATCGTTTCCATGCTTTAGGTAAGTAAGGATTTTGATTTCCTTGTTGATTGCTTGGACTGAAAAAAATGTTCAGCATCTAATTAACATGTTGGCTTGTATCATTGCGGAGGTCTTGAAGATGTCTGAGAATTGAAATAAAGTAATTCGGTAGATAACAACTAGTACTGATCACTGTCAATGGAAGTAATTTGAAAAATTTATTTTGATAAAGTCTCACAGTGTTATACAGTAATATTTAGTGATGACCATGTTTCGAGCACAATTTATTGCTCATAACCAGAGCTTGTCCCTGAGTGAGTTTGTAGGTTTAAATGCCACTCTAATTCCTGCTTCATTAAGTTAAGTGTCTAACAAACAGAGCAGTAGCACTAAGTAGTACAAGAAAAAACCTAAATGATGAAATAAAAGAGATAGAAGAGGAAGCACTAGTGTCAAATAACTATCCTATAAAATTCATTAGGAAGATCCGAAAAAGTCAGAAGCAAAATTAAAATAATTGTGAAACTAATAATGATAACATAAATAAGGGAGAATATAAGGCATCTACAGTAGTTTTACCATATGAGGAGGGGACATCTGATACCCTTGTGGTGAGAGCCGGCTGCTAGCCAAAGTTGGTAGACAGTAATTGACGTCAGTGTTTATGTCCCCAATATTGGTGGTGAGAAAATGAGAACAAAGGCTGTGCGTAGGCGGATACAGTTAGCGTATGGATGACCTGACACAGTCACAAAGAGATGCAAGGTTAACTTTCTGTGAGAAACAACCAATCTACAGACTGTATTTTCTACTAACAATAATCTACAATAATGTACATTAAAATCTATAAATACGTGTTGATTTTCCTTAATAAACGATCTGTTGCCTGGCCGTTGTCTTCTGTTGTTACACCCTGCGTAGGATTCTCAATAAAGCAGGAATTGGAGTGCCATTCAGACCTACAAACTCCCTCAGATAGGACTAGCTCTGTAGGTTAAAGGACCCTGTAGGTTTAACCCAGTTAAACAAAATAATATAATTTACAAAATACCTTACAATGACTGTGAGTTAGGTCAATTGCATCGGTCAAATCAGTAGATCAGGAGTAGTGAGATTGTCAGAACATAAGAATTTAGTTGCTAAGGTAAGAATGGATGACCCTGCGAAGATGAGTAATTTGGAGAAAAGCTCATCAATCGCACTGCATGCATGTATTAACACGCAACCCCACAATAGGGAAGGTGGGAAGCAGTCAAAATTCTAAGAAGTAATATAGGTAGTTGGGGAGAGAGAGGGAGGTTGATTACTGAATCCTTGTTTATCGAGTGAATCTACACCCAACACTGCGCAATAGGAATGCCTCATCACTCATACCCGAAATATGGAAAATAATACTACCAATCAAATCCGGCGATGAAAAATAATGGAATTATATAAACGAAGTCAGAAAGTTGTGTCTTGATATGATTATGAGCAATAAATTCAAAAGTACTCATCCACCACAGGGATTCGAACCCAGGACCTTCCGATTATGAGGCGAGTTTGTAGGTCATTAAGCCACTGGGGCCCGATTCAGTGACTAGCCCATGAATTCCAATTTCTACCAATTCGATATATATATATATATATATTTAGCGCAAGCGCCAGCCAATGACACTAGAAATTCTCATCTTGGTGGACCCAGCTAGTTATGACTTCTCACTAGAACCATAGAACCAGTCACTAGCGAGCATCAGATTATTCATCAGGTGTTAAGTTTTCAGGGATTTGATTGGTTGATAGTGTGTACTATTTCACGAGAATTTCAGTGATCGTCTTCAATTAAATTTCGTGGTCGTGGATAAGTGAATTGGAAAAATATATTTATGCGAAATACAATGGCGTGTGTGTGTGCATAGGAGAACAGTCGTACACCATTTGTTAGCACTTCCCTAAGAAGTCACATATAATCTGGAAAATAGATAAAGGATGAGAATTAGCGATACGTATACAATTTTATTCATTAATCAGGATTTGCCATGCATCAACTCACATCACACTTTCGCACCTGTTGAAGCTATTGGGATTCACCCATACACGTAAGGCCTCTGCAGTCAAACTTTGCTCATATGATCCAAAACCTTTGATCCTGTCAGAGTTTATCTTGTGTCCCGTTTCTATTAAGTTTGGTACAATCATTGATTTTTCTTCTAGCTTCTCCAAGTCTGCAGATGTCTTTGGAACTACCTTTTAATTAATGTTTATGCACTTTAACTCCTAAATTTGCCTTTCCGGAAGTTCCTCCTACATGCACAGCATCATAAACCCCGCCCTCCAATTTACCTCGCAGACACAATTCTCTTTGTTGTCTTCTTCTATTTTATTTTTAACCTTCACCAGTGATGAGCATAAGATGTCCCTTGCACGAAAATATACCCTTATGTTATTATTATTCCCTTGAGCTCCGAGTGGAATATAGGGCTGGCTTCAACAACACATATCCAATGTGTTATATTTTCTACTGTCCACTTCAGCTGTTCCACGAATGCTCACAACCTCTCATCTCCTCCTCATCATCATCACACGATCTCCTGCATGTCACCCTCGATTTGAAGACCCACTAGTCACTTCCTACTGGGATTCCACTCGAGTGGTGGTCTGCATTGTGCGCGATGTCATTCGACGGTCTCCTCAATGCATGCCCAATCCATCTCCATTTTCTCCTACATATTTGTTGAGCAATCGACTCTTAGTTGATTTGTTCCACTGCAGAGTTTCTTGTTACTTATTCTTTCTGGCCATTTGATCTTCAGTATGCAGCCAGACAGCGAAGTGAGCAGCTGTTGATAAACGTCTGCATTAGCCCGTTGGAAATCATCCACATTAATCATGCAAATGCGAAATCCAGATCTTCCAGAGTCTTCTTATTGGTCTATCCAGAGTATTCCTATCTTCTCACTCTCCATGCACACTCTGACGCATAATCCAGTCCATTACAACTGAGAATATCATTGGTAATAATAGACAGCCCTGTCTTACTCCTGCATTTACTTCGGACGCCTCACTGAGTTTTCCGTTGTGGATCATCTGACACTTAGCAGGTATTGTCATATAGCCAGCTGTTGAATGAGGTTGATAAAGACTTCAGGTTCGCCGTAATGTTGAATTAGTTTCCAAATAACTTCTTGGTCACCACTGTCTATCGAAGGCCTTTTCGAAGTCGATGAAGGAAGTTGTGGTAGAGATTTGACTGCCATTCTATGCTTTGTTCAATGACGATGCGTAGAGTTGCATAGAATTATGATTGTTAAGAATTCTCTTTGTTTCATCCGATACTTCTTTGAGGTAAGGACTCACCACTGTACTAACTCAATAAGTCTTAGCAACAGGTTTCGATGCATCCTTATCTGCACTTTTCAAATATCACTTAATAAAGGTTTTCGGGTAATTATTTGATTCAATAGCAGACTGAACCTACTTTAATTTTTTTCTGGTGTCGTCTTCCCCAGTAACTAGACATTCGGCTCTGTTAATCAGATTCTAAGCTACAGTTATTATGGCGATAAATGAAATATGCTATACCACGACCTCTGAATAATTAGCCTCTAAGACCTTAACTTCTAAAGAAGCCATCACTTTATTACTGCCATCACTGCGAGTAATATGCAACTGCCAAGTATAAGAACGAAGTAGTTCGAAGCACTGTTCGAATTCTCGGAACTAACTGCCTGAAAGTAGAATGATTAGGTCAGTTCTCTTCCTTCCTTTTGTTGCTTTCTGATTGCACTATCATGGCTTCAAACTTTTAAAGTTTCAAAAGTGGTGCCAGTGATGTTTTTGATTTTCACGAGTTGATGTTGCTAGTTTCAGGTCAAATCTTCGCTCTTTTGTGCATTTAATACCTATGGGATAGTAGGCTGGATGAAGTTTGCGAGTTTTTTGGGGAGGAATTGAATCCCCACCACCCCATGAGTGGCTGGTGACCATTCCTCACTAACCCACAATTTAGACAATTAGTTACATAGTATATATGTGTTTACTGTTTGTAGTTATTTAGACATCTCCGTAATGGCTTTGGGGCTTTATTTTTACACCCGCAGATGTCAGACAGCTAAAGCAATGAAACGAGAACTAAAAGCGAAGAAATTAGCTAAAAGGTCTGTCACCCATCGAGATAAAGAAGAAAAAAGATTCGGAGGTGGTGAAAAAGAAGGACAGAGAGAAGAAGACGGTGAAGACAATGAGAGTGATGTAGACGACAATGGAGGCGACTCTAAAGGTAATTGGTTGGTTTATCCTCTTTCCCTCTCTCTCTCTCACCATGTCTACCGTTTTATCCTCTTATATGTGTCAAAATAAAGTGGGTTAATACATAGAAATCAAGTGTACGTTCCCAGTGGGACATAAGGCAGCTTCAACCTAGAGGCTTAAAGTTTCAGTAGCAGTGGTGTTTATTTTTACGGGATGGAGTAGCTAGCTTCATGCCCAACCTTCTCTCATTACCAGTCTTATTACTGGCTGAACAAGTGTGTTGGTGGCCAGGGATCGAACGCCTAGATATATGCCTGGTTGGCGAGCATTCTACCACTGCGCCAACGACGCACAAATGAGGTGCTAAGTAACTGCTTTTGCAATGTCATCGAACCTCAATGCTTACGACTTCTCACTAGAACTTTAAGTAGCTAAATGCGTCCTGTAACTAGGGACTAGAGAGCATCAGATTAATTTTCAAGAGATCCTTAAAGCTTGACGTGTAACCGGGAGTCCCGGAGTCCAATGCCAGTAGGTGGCTGGATTCATCACAGAACTTGGCACCGAAGTGCAGCAGTTCGAGTTGCCACGTTCCAAATACCACACAAAGGTAGACAAGAAAATGAGTGAAGGGAATCAGTAGAGTTTTGACAAGTATAAGAGTGAAACAGAATGAGTAATGGTAGAAAGGAATATGAAAGATTACAGAGACTGAATAGATCTGCGTAAGCCATTGACAACGATTTTGAGCCATGTCACCTATTGTCTCCAGCCATTGATTCTTAGAGTCCCGAGGGTCCCAACCCGGAAGTCTGAATCTCCCTACCTGACTCAGTTTAACTGTCAGGGATTTCATGGATTGATGAGGCCATGTTTTTGTTTGGCCACCACTTACTCTTTTCCAACCTGCACCTATATCAGGTAGTAATGCCCGTCTGTCGGGGGAGGCGATGGCTAGGCATGCGCAGCACGTGACCTGGCCATCTCAATCTATGTAGCTTTATAGCCTCTTCAATTGATTTTCCCTCTTTGCCCAACACTCTACACCTAACGTCAACATTAGTTACCTTATTATGAGAAAGAGATCGTAAACATCTGTGATCAAAAACAGACAACCTTTTCATGTCTTCAGCTCGTATTGGCCATGTTTCAGAGCCATAGAGAAGGACGGAGCAAACTGCTGAGCAGTACACACGTCCCTTGGTTGATAGCCGGATGTCACGCCTACGCCAGAGACGGTGTAAGTTAGCGAAAGCAGCTCGAGCTTTTTGGATCCGTGCTGAGATTTCGTCACCAATCGATCCGTTGGTGCTGATACAACTTCCCAAATAGGTGAAGTGGTCAACATGTTCTATCACTTCACTCCCTATCACTAAGCTCGGGGTAGACTTAGTCCAGTCCTTTAGCAGCATCTTACATTTTACGGGGGCGAATCGCATGCCAAACATACGAAGATTGCTGCTCAAGGTGTTCAGAAGACTCTGCATTTTGTCAGCACTCTCCCCTAACAGGACTATGTCATCTGCGTATTCTAAGTCTATGAGACTATTCTCTGGTAACAAATCGATTCTTAAATCGTTAAGTTCAGTTAAGGATACTTCCATTAGCATATCTATTATTATTATTTCCTTTAGTTCCTAGAGGAACATAGGGCTTCAGCCATGCGTCTCCATTGCGTTCGATTCTCTGCTAGAGTTTTCACCTGGCTCCAGGTCTGCCCACATGCTTTCATCTCCTCTTCACATGATCTCCTCCAGGTCACCCTTGGACGACCAACTCGTCGCTTCCCTTTCAGGTTCCACTCGAGCTGTGGCTTGTCTAGTGATGTCACTTGATTATTTCCTCAGAGTATGGCTAATCCATCTCCATTTCTTCCTGCATATTTGTTTCACAATCGGTTCCTGCTGGGTTGGTTCGCTCCCAGAGATCTCTGTTGCTGATCTTTTCTGGCCATGTGATCTTGAGTGGTATTGAGCGAAGACAACTGTTAATGAAGGTCTGTAGTTTGTTTGAGATGCTCTTTATGACGCGCTGGCCAAGTCTCTGATCCGTTTAGTGAGTAGCACTGACTTCACATTGGAGTTGAAAATCTGGATCTTATTTTTGATGCTGAGTAGTGCTGTTGACCTCCACACAGAATTGAGAGTAGTGAAAACTTGTCTTGCTTTTCCGATTCTTGTTTTGATATCCTCGTCAGTTCCGCCTGTAGTTGACACGATGCCCCCAAGGTAGGTGAAAGAGGTTGTTTCTTTCAGGTTCCTCCCATTTATGCTGATTGTTGTCTGTTGTTTTTGGCCAGGAATCTTTATCACTAACCTCTGTTCTCTCTATGTTCACCTGAAGTCCTATCTTCTCTAAATGCTTCTTCTATCGCCAACTAGTTGCTTTTCGCTGGCATATCTTCCAGTTTGTGGGAAATCAGACATATATCATCGGCGAAGTCCAGATCCTCCAAGTGTTTTGTGTGAGTCCATTTTGTGCCTGTTTCCTCATTGCCCGCTGTTTGTCGCATTATCCAATCTACCGCAATCAGGAAAATCATTGGCCATAGTAGGCAGCCTTGTCTTACTCCCGTCTTCACTTCGAAGGATTCCGTGAGCTTCCCGTTGTGGATTACTTGGCATGCAGTGTTGTCATACAACTGTTGGATGAGATGTATAATTGTCGGTGGCACCCCGTAGTAGCGAAGTAGTTGCCAAATCACCTCTCGATCGATGCTGTCGAAGGCCTTTTCAAAGTCGATGAAGTTGAGATAGAGAGGTGACTGCCATTCCAAACTTTGTTCAATGATGATCCGTAGTGTGGCGATTTGATCAATACATGACTTGTTTCTCCTGAATCCAGCTTGTTCTGGTCGAAGTTTTTCATCCAGGGCTTGTTTGATCCTTTCCAATATGATGCGGCTTAGTATTTTGCTTGGGATGAACAGGAGCATAATTCCGCGCCAGTTCTTGCATTGACTTAAGTCTCCTTTCTTTGGTAGTTTGAATAGGTATCCTTTCTTCCAATCCTCGGGTACTTTGCCTTCTTTCCACACCTTCTCCAGTAGTGGCGTCATCAAGTCTGCTGTTGTCTCTGGGTCCACTTTCAATTCTTCTGCTGGGATTCCATCTGGTCCTGCTGCTTTTCCAGCTTTCAGCATCTTGATTGCCTTCAGGACTTCTGTTTTCGTCGGGGGGTTGATGCTCACTGGTAATTCTGTTTCCGTTGTTGGTATTGTTGGGCACGTTGTAGGTGGCGGTCGGTTTAGTAGTCTTTTGAAGTGTTCAGCCCAGTGTTTCCTTTGCTCCACTTCTTTGGTGATTGACTTTCCGTTTTCATCCTTCACTGGCTTAATTTGTGACGAGTTTCTGCCTGAGAGGTACCTAGTTGTTTGGTAGAGTGTTGCGAGGTCTCCTTTGCCTGCTGCTTGTTCTGCTTCATTGGCCATGGCTTCATAATACCTTCTTTTGTCTTCTCTGGCACTCTTCTTTACTCCTTTGTTCAGTATATTGTAGCTTGCATTCAACTCCTGTTTCTGTTGCTCGTCGGTGCACTGGAGAATCTTTTGTTTCACCATCCTTCTCTCTTCTATCAGTCTCCAAATGTCCGTAGTGAGCCACTGTTTATCCTGTCTCTTCTTTCTGCCTAGAACTTCCATGCAGGTTGGACTCCACACTGTTTTCAAGTTGTTCCAGTGCTTTTCAACGCTGACCTCTTCGCTAATGTTGATTTGTGTCTCAGCTTTGTCCTTTATACTTGCAGTAAAGATATCCTTTGTAACCTGGTCCTTCAGTTTTTGAGTGTTGAACTTGGTTTGTGGCCTATCTGCAGCTCCTGATTCTCTGAAAGCTTTTAATTTGAGTTGGATTGTTCCTTGTACGAGGTAGTGGTCTGAGCCAACGTCTGCTCCTCTTCTTGCTTTTGTGTCCAGTAGGCTGCGCCTCCACTTCCTCGAGATTGTGATGAAGTCAATTTGGTTTTTGGTTCGCCCATCTGGTGACACCCATGTAGCCTTGTGAATATCCTTGTGTTTGTATACGCTGCCACCAATCACTAGTTCATTGAAGGCGCAGAAGTCGGCGAAGAGTTCTCCATTTTCATTCATCTCTCCCAGAGCTTCTTTACCCATGATGAGTTCCCTTCCTGTGTTGTCTGGTCCAAGTTTGGCGTTCATGTCTCCCATTAGTATTTTAATGTCACCGGCTGGAGTATTGTCTATTGCTGCCTGTAGTTGTCTGTAGAATTCTTCTTTCTTTTCGAGGTCTGCGTTGTTTGTGGGTGCATAGCATTGTATAATTGGCACTTTTCTTCGTTTGGAGTTGAATCTGGCGCTCATTATTCTGGGTGAGATCGCCTCCCACTGTATCAGAGCCTTGGTTGCCGTTGGTGACATCATTATAGCCACGCCCTCGGTGTGTGTGTGGTTGTCTTCTGGGTGACCGGAGTAAATCACTGACTCACCTGTTGACAATTTGGTGAGTCCGTTTCCATTCCATCTGCTTTCGCAGATCCTCAATATTTGTAGTCCGTATCTTCTCATTTCGCTTGCGATCTGGGCAGCTTTGCTAGTCTCGCACATGGTGCGGACATTCCATGTCCCCACACAGACTTTTTCTTTTGACGCAAGGAGATTGTTCACGCTGAAGTTTCTGTAGCAGGTTTGTTTACAGGGTGGGGTTGCTGGCCTCACGCCTGAGTTTAGTCTTTGGGTACCTGAAATAGAAGAAAGGTTAGTGGTGCGTGACCGCAGAGCCCAGGGGACATCTGCTTGAGGCCGGTCACACACGGCCTGGTGTGTCTCAGTAGTGTACTTATCACTTCTGCCCTGTGACACGGCAGCAGAAAGCGCGGTCGTTGTTAATCCGGGCCACGGCCGATCCGGCATGATATTTTTTGAATTCGTTTGGTTCATCGGGTTGGATTGATGACGACTAAGTCCAGCCCCCACTGATACCGTCGCCAATGTATCAGTAGGTTGTGAGGTTTGAAAAATTTGGTTGATGCCCGTATATGCATATCTATAATGAAGTTAAACAAAAATGGGGAAAGTGGACATCCTTGACGGACACCACTGGTTGTTATCAATTCAGATGACAATTCCCCATAAGCCCTTACACGGCTACGTGAGTTTGAGCAGAGTGCCTTGATTAGTGCAATGTACTTTCTTGGCACTCCCTTCACAGTCAAACATTGCCATAGTACCTTTCGATCCACGGAGTTGAAGGCTGCCTTCAAGTCAAGAAATATGGGAATTGTTGGACGCCGGAAAGTGTGTCTATGTTCTAGGATCTGTCGGAGAGTGAAGATATGATCTATGCACCCTCTACCTGGCCTAAAGCCTACTTGATTTTCACTCGTTTGTTCCTCCCGAGTTCGGCTTAGTCTGTACAAATGCCAGTAGGTACAGTAGGTAAGGACTGATGTCACTTTAGGGAGGATGGAAAACCAAGGAGAACTTCGTGTGCAGCTGTTTCAAACTAAGACGAAACATCTGCACACGAAGTACTCCTTGGTTTTCCGTCCTCCCTAAAGTGACATCAATCCGTGATCGAAATTGGATCAGTCCAGTGATGCTCTCGATAGAGGGGGTTTTCAAAGAAAGACAAGAATACAAAGTATTTGTTGATAAACTATCTTCATAATCTAACTGGTGGATGGTGACTAGCAGTGGATAATTCGCATTTCGTCCTATTTGGGACTCGTCCACCAGCTGTGTGTACCTGCATTTCCCAGTGGGTTATGATGTTACTACCGAGGCATTTGAAACTATGGGCACTGGTTCCACTGCTAGTCAGCACCCACGAATTGACTTCTAATTACATGCCCAAACATCGTCGAAGCATCTCCCCAAGAAGCCGACATGTCAACCTGAGACCAAGCACTGCAGTCCAGTCAATCGACGGGAAAATCTATAATTTTAATTAAATATCCTCATAATCCATTGCATTTAATTGCTCAGTTTCAAAGCTTTTTGATTGGTCAAATTTATCGTCTAACCTTGACACCATTTAAACAAAAATGTTTTAGTAAAACAAATTATTTGTTATTGCTTTCATACAGCATAAAATTTTTAAATTTTAATGTACATTTATATTACTTTTCTTTTTTACCATATTTTTCTATAAAAATACATTTTAATTCACCACTTAGATAAGGAGTATAATACACTTGATGTAGACATTAACAATTGTACAAATGAAAAGGTAACACCAACTCACCGGCTATCCACATCTCTGTCACCTCCTGAAGCAGATTATATGACAAGCATAATTGTTAACAGCCTTGATAGTGATAGTCAATCAATAATTATTGATCGAATCGCTGAGTTAGACAGCAGGCATAATAAAGCTGAAACATTTCTCAATAAACAAACTTACGACCAGCATAAAAATGCCGGAGAAAATGATCAACTCAACAAACAACTATGCCATGTGGATTTATCCAATATACAAATTTGTAATGAACAGAATAAATTCGAAGTTATTCAACAGGACAGTTTATCAGATAAATGTGATTCTGTAACGCTGAATAATACACTATCAGAGCGTAGTAAATGCGAGGAAGTTGACAGATCAATAAAGAAAGATGAAAGGACTGTTCAGAATAAAATACATAAAGATTTTAACACTTCAAAGATTAGCGATTATTTGCATATGAATGAATTCAACAAAGAAGTTGAAGAATATGCCGACAGAGACGACGAAAATGGCGACCAGAGTGGTGATGATGATGATGATGATACTGGTGAATGTGTTGACAACTCGACAGGGAATTGTCAGCCGACTGATGGCAAGTATTCAAAAGTGAATAAATTGACATGTATAAAAAATAAATGTAAAGAGAAATTAAAAAGCATTAAAGTTGTGCCCAGACAGAAATTATCCAAATGGAATCAATGTATGAATATCAATGCTTCTTCCATACCGGGTGACCATTATTCTCAATTTTTATCAACAAACTTTGATAGAATAGATCCTGAAGGATCTGATACACAAGAAGTGACAAGTAAAACTAATCTCATACACTATGAGAACGAAGATGATGATGATAGGGAGGAATCTTTTACTACAGTCAGTTTAGATAAAGAAATGAAAACTATTGAACATCGAAACGCAGATGATTTGTTTAAAATGAATTTAATAAAACAACTTAATGAAATTGATAAAGAATCAATTTTTCATAAAACTATCCCTTCATCAGCTAATCTTAATTTGAAAAGTGAACAAGGTGGACAAGAGAAGTCCACTTCAAATAAACAATTAGACGAATTGTCGAGATATACTACTGATAAGAAACATTTCAGCGACTTGTTTAATAAACAAGCATCTCATGACATTAATTCATCACTGTGTTCATTAGAAAATCGTATACCAAAAATAGTTATTCAATCGCCTTCTTGTAGTAATAATTCTATTGAATGTTATGAAGATACAAGTTGTATGAGTAATGCGAAACAGATAGACAACGACGAGGTTGATATCGACGATGAGATGGAAGTGGGCGATGATGATGATGATGATGATGATATATCCAGTAATTATGATGATGATGAAAAGACTAATGAAGGTGATGATTTTAACACATTCACCTATGATGATGATGAGGGTGATGATGACGAAGATACTAGTCAGCTGTCTGTCATCTATCGTCCACTTGCCAATCAGTCGACACTCGACCAATCAACTGTGCATCCTGTAACAACGACTAACAAACCAATTCCTATGAATTCAAATACATATTTCAACAGTCTAGATACGAATAGTAATGAGAGTAGAAATGTTGACTGACAGTACAGCAGTAACAATAGGAATTACTACAAAAACAACTAATAATAATAATAATATTCGTACGACTACATGCATGTAATGACTAATTCGTAATCCATTGAATTCAAAACCGGAATAAACCCTTGAACCGTTTTTAATTGTATTGTCATTGTATGTGTATGAAATAATAATAACTATGTATACATTTTGAAAAAGAAAGTTACATCCACATGCACGTTTATAGTTTGTTTCGATTTCAGTTATTTTTTTGAAGTTTTATTTTAGCTACTGACTTTATTAGTTAGTAGTTCAACGTGTTTGTTAAAATGTTTGCCTCGTTTCTGTTTTTGTGATTTAAGTTTATGAAGATGATTTTGAAATAGAGAATGGAATTGACAATAATATCATCATTGATAAAGTGATCGAAGAGGTAGAAGAAGACAGCTTAGAGGTTGTACATCCTTCAGGAATAAATCAAGTGCTTATCTCTACAAAGGTGGATGAAATTCCATCTACAGGTGAGTGAGCGATTGACATTTTGAAAATTCCTTCATCTTTCTGTCACTGTAAAAATTTGTATTAAGATCGAATTTAAAAATCATGAAACATGCTTATGAAATTAATAAACTAACTTTTGCTAAATACAAGTAATAATTAATGCCCTCTGCACTAGAGGTGGTGGTTCTCGTAGCCCAAGGGGTCTGGTGGAGAACGCTTTCGCATTTGAAACGAATCTCAATGGGAACATTATCACTCACTTAGGTTGGGGGGGGGGTAAATACAGACACATCCAGATGACAAGTCCCTGAAATACGACGAAATGCGCATAGTGGATTCCACAGCTAGTCATCCTCTACCAAATATTCAACTTAGATGTGGAAATGATAGGCTGGATCACTTGTTTGGCGAATTCCACTTACTCTTTAGTCGTACAATCACACTACATATGACTTCTTTCATTAAAAGAGGATATTAATAAAAGTGATGAGTTGTCATAATCACCAATACTAGAAAATTGATCTGATGCTCACTGGCGACTGGTCCTATTCAGGCAGTTACCTGGGGTTCTAGTGGAAAGCCGTGACCAGTGGGGTACAGCACGTTGAAGGTGACGCAGTAACTCACCGACAAAGACATTGTGAAGTTGTCGCGGTATGTCGTGAATTGGCAGAAGAAGTTAGAATTCATGGATTAGCCACTGGATTGGGTCCAAGTGCCTTGTAACCAGAAGGTCCTGGGTTTGAACCCCTGTGGTGGGTCCGTATTGCTGAAGAGTCCCAAACTAGGCTGACGAAATAGCTGTCCAGTACTCCCTGGCAGGTTTTTCGATGGTT